CAAGAAGTTTGCTCATTATATTCAGCAGTCAGAAAACCCAAGCTGGCCTACCTGAAGTACTTGACAGACATTTGGCAGCAATATCTGCAGCAGCACATTCTCTTTATGATGAATATCAATCCTTATCACATTCCCCTCATTAATGTTGTTCACAAGTCATTCTTACCTCTCTTGCTACCCCCCTTCCCAATGAACAGTGTCTTGAGCACTGAAGAACTATCATCACTTCTTATTAGCTTACCTACAAGTTCCCCCTAGCTACACACTCTTGTATCAAAGCCACAGCAGTAGTGCTGGCTTCTTTGTTTCAACTGAAATAAAGATTTCACTTGTTGGTGACTGTCTCCCCCCCCCTAACCCAAAATCTGCTTTGGTCCAAGTTGCAATGCTTCTCCAATACATCCCTCACCCTCCTTGTCAGGTCTCTGTTTCTGGATTCACAAACAAGAATTCTGCACCCAGGTGAGCAATCACCAGTGTTCTCAGTTCCTAATGGAGTGGTTCAAGGCACTGTGCTTGGTCCTATACTGTTAGCCATCTTTCTGAATGACTTCTCAAGACTCTCAGCTGGATGTCTGGTTACTCTGTTTGCTGATTACATCCAAATATCCTCCTACAATGTACAACAAGACTCCCAGACCATCCATCAGTATCTGCAGAAAAATAATCTCCAGCTTTCCATTGCAATGACAGTACCTTTGGGTTGTTCCATCATCTTGGAGAACTGCACTCTACCTGCTCAGGTTTCAGCTACATAACTTGGCTTTCCTTTCCTTTGTACTGGACTAGATTCTAGAGCACACCTGAAGAAGAGAATTATCCTGGCAAGAAAGGCACTCCACAAGCTGCTGGCTGTTAATCCTACCGCTTCAGTTCCCAGCTATCTCCTTCTACTCAATTAGTTTGTCTTTGCTGTCCTGGAACTGGGCTTACCACCTCTCTCTCATACATCTTGAGACTGCGCTAAGTTTGACAAGTTTGCAGTGTGGTGTATTACCTTCTTGGTGCCTCATCTGCCTGAATGCCCCTGCAGACATGCTATTCTTGGTGCTTTTGGGCTTATGCCCTATAAGATCAGACTACTCTACCTTAGAACCAGATTATATCTCAGGCTTCACCACTGCAACCACCCACTGATTAAGACTTGGAAGAGAACACACCACACTACAGCTGGCTCCTGCTGGAGAACTATACTTGGAGATCTTGAAGTCAAGAAATTTGCTTAGTATATTCTGCAGTCAGAAAAGCCCAAGCTGGCCTACCTGAAGTACTCAACAGACCTTTGGCAGCAATATCTGAAGCTGCACACTCCCTTCATGATGAATATCAATCCATATCATATTCCCCTCATTAATATTGCTCACAAATCATTCTTACCCCTCTTGATATCCCCCTTCCCACTGAACAGTGTCTTGAGCACTGAAGAACTATCATCACTTCTTATAAACTTACCTACAAATTCCCCTCAGCTGCACACTCTTGTATCAAAGCTGCAACAGCAGCACTGGCTTTTTTGTTTCAACTGAAATTAAGATTTCATCTGTTGGTGACTGTCTCCCCCACTTACCCTCAAGCTTATTTACTTCACTCCCCCATGAACCTTAACTCTGTTGTAAGAGTCTTGGAGATATTGGAAGTGAATTAAAGAACAAGTAGATTATGTGGTCTTCATTTAATGATTTATTGAATGTAAAAGTAGTATTTATACTTTTACCTGGTCTTGGCATTACAAGCACTTATAATAGATTAAAGAAGGTCACAAGAACATGTGTGCAAAGTTTGGGGCTGTTTGGACAACTTTGAGAATTTTCATGTTCTGGGTACCTGGTATTTCGGTGAGAATATTCTTAGTAAATCCTGACAAGGAATTTGGTCAGTATACTCTGGGATTTGAGGGTAATGATCTAAGTGACTAAGTTAGGTGAATATTTAGGTGGAATTACAAATTTTTTACAACCAACTCCAGTGTACTCTGGGATACTGCCTTACCTTTAGCTTAGATTTATTAATATACAACTTGATGTTTACTTTGGAAAACTTTAATTTGCAGCTGGCTTCTTTATTTGTACGTAGACTTGCCTGAAATCAAATAAAGATTACACCTACCTTGGTAACATTCCATCCCCTAGCCATCTAAGATCTATGTGGCAGAGCTACTTACAAGTCTATACACCTTTGCTACTACACCTAGTCCCAGGCTGGGTTCAGTCTTAGATTATATTCATCAGAAACATCTCCAACTTGTACTTCCTCCAGAACCCTTGAATTTTATATTGACCCCTGATGAGCATTACTTTATTGAAACAAACATTGAAGATGAGAGAAAACATAAATTAGATTACTTATTAGAGAGGTTCTAAACTTCTTAAGTGGCTTCTACATTTGTACTTTCATTAGCTCTTGACTAAAATAAAGATATCACCAACTTGGTGATTTTCCCTCCTCTAAGAAAATCCTTGATCATGGATCATAGATCTTGCCATATCAACTATGGATTTGTTTGCATGTTCTGCTACTTCATTTTGGTGCTGGGAGTATGGTGCAGTAGGCTCTTGCCTCATTCCATGAACTTTGCAGTAGTGGATGAAGAGTTTTGAGGTATATTCTCCACCATTGTCAGAGCATATGTTCTCGTTTTCTTCACCAGTTTCTCTCTCCACCATGACTTTAAACTCCCTGAACTTAGACGGTGCATCATCCTTTCTCTCCATGAAGTAGACCCATGTGTATCTTGTATAATAATCAGTAAAAGTGATCAAATACTTCATCCCCCCTAAGGAGAAATTTTGCATAGGTCCACACAGATCTGAGTGAGTTAGTTTTAATTTTCTCTTGGTTGTGATTACCCCAGAGGTCTTGAACAGTTGTCTGGCTTGTTTCCTATATATGCAGGCTTTGCAGTGCTCCAAATTAGCTGGGGGATTAATTTTTACTCCGGATATTAGCTGATCTTTGATCATTTTGCATACATATTCAAAATTGATGTGTCCCAATATCCTGTGCCAAAGTACTGGTATTTCTTCATTTAAGTTACTTATATTGGCTTCCAGATACAATGGATTATAAGCTAACCTATAGAGATTCTGATTTCTGATAACCAATGCAATATTTGGCACCTTTTTTATCAGTGATCTTGCATCCAGAATTGTCAAAGCTGAAACTAAGTCCTTCTGCAGTGGCCTTGCTTACAGATAGCAGGTTCTTGGCTATTTCTGGTACATAGAGTACTTCTTTAAAGGTCAGAGTATAGCTTCCTTCACTGCTTCTTAGGTTTGCTTGGGTAGTTCCTTCTCCCACTGCATCAAGTGTTCTATTGTCACCCATGAAAACCTTCTTAATTGGAATTTCTTGATATTGGGTACCAAGTTCTTTTTGGTGTGTAAAGTGTTGCGATGCTCCAGAGTCAATATACCACACCTGAGAGTTTTTGTTTGTGATCATACTTAGTGCAGATATGAATAGTCTATTTTCAGTTGTTGCAGCATTTCTGTATTAAGGCTTTTTCTGCTGATCATCTGTTTTTCAAACACCTGTGTGATGTGTGTCCTTTCCTTTTGCAGTAGTTGCAATGCAGGTTGCTGTTGCCTTTGTCAGGTCTTGGGTACCTCCTTTGTTGGTTATCATTGCTTATTAAAGCATTTTCTTCTTCCTTCTGATTGGCACTTGATTTTCTTAATTCTTCATTTGGGAGCCTTCCATATATGTAATATAAGGTCAAATCATCAGTTCTGGACTCTAGGGCTGATATAAGGCCCTGAAATCTGTCTATCAGGCTATTTGGGATGGCAACTATCACATCCTTATCAGTAGTTGGTATGCCCACAGATTTCATCTCATCCACCAACAGGGTAATTTTGCTAATTAGATTTTTCATTTCTTCTCCTGGCTGCATCTTTGTAGTAAAGAATTTTTGTTCAAGATACATCTTCTTAACAGCTCAACATGACTGGTAGGTGTCTTCTAATGCCATCCAGGCATTCTTCATAGTGTTTGCTCTTGAGCATTGAATTAACAGTTTGTCTTTAACATTAAGGCACATGCGGTTAAAGGCGCTTTATTCTTTCTTCTTGTACTTTAAGGCTTCCTCTCACACGTTTTTAGGGGGGAATTCTTCTCCCATGACAATATCCCAAAGGCCTCATTCTTCTAGCAGTATCTTCATCTTTACCTTTCATGCTTGGTAGTAAGATCCATCCAACTTTTCAGCAGAGGGAAAAGTTCCAGTAATAGCCATGGTAGACATTGCAGAGAGTGACAGCTTGGGGCTCATAGCCTGTTGTAAGAGTCTTGGAGATATTGGAAGTGATCTGGGAGTACAAGTAGATTATGTGGTTTTCACTTAATGACTTTTTCAATGTAAAAGTAGTATTTATACTCTTGCATGGTTGTGATATTACAAACATGTAGAGTAGGTTAAGGAAGGTCCCAAGAACATGTGTGCAAGTTTGGGGCTACTTGGACAACTTTGAGAATTTTCATGTTCTGTATACCTGGATTTTTGGTGAAAATATTCAAAGTAAATCCCAACAAGGAATTTGGTCAGTATTCCTTAGGATCTGAAGGTAATGATCTAAGGGACTAAGCTAGGTGAATATTTAGGTGGAATTACAAATTTTTACAACAAAATATAGGCAGTCAATTTTCACAGTCCAAAATTGGTCAAATCAACTAATAAGAGTTCACCACTCTAATCTGTATTTCTAGGACATAACAATGATATCACTATATGTTTATCTCTTAATGAACCTGCCATAGGGATAGCACTTATCTAGCCTTAGTGCAAGCCAATTGCTACAATGTGTATCTGGGTGTGTGCCTCCCAGCTGGAATTTTGCATTTTAGACCATCAATTCTATATCAAAAGAGTAAGATACTCCGGAAGCAGCACAACTTAAGAGTGTATGTATTTGCATACCTTGCATACCAAGGGTTAAGAAGTGTGTAAAGTAGATACCCTTTGCACATTACTAAATAAACAAATATTTGTATGTTATCAAACAGCTTGCATAGCTCACTTGGTTAGAGTGTGGTGCTAATAATGCTATGGTTGCAGGTTCAACCCCTGCTGTGAGCAAATTTGCTTTTTTGTTTTTTCCTTGCTAACTCATCTCCCTCAAGTTATCATCAAAATAGATATATACAAAAGTGTGCTTTCACAAAGTTGTTGTTTAGTAGCTTTGTTATATTGAATGGTAGTTCTTAAAGTCACTATTGAATTCTTTTAGTTATTCAGGCCTGAACTTGCACACTATATGCATATTCAAACCTCTGCAAGCTACAGCCTGAGGCTTTGTAGCTCAGCAGCATAGGGACAGGTTTAGTTGTCTGTAACAAATAAGAGTCTTATACAGCAATTATAAGTAGCTGTGGGCCTGATGATACTGATCTCAGTCTCTGAATTTTTGAAATAAACAAAAGAGCTGGTGTCAGCTTCCAAGCAGGCCCTAGACTGAGGAAGAGGGTTCAGCCAGCATATTGAGGTATGCCAAACATTACATCATTGTTGTGGATCAGTCTGCACAGGTTAAGACATATTCAAGCCAGCTGTAGACACCCAATACATTGAAGGATACTCTGACCAAGATACAGGGTACACTGAGCCCATGGAAGATGCTCGATGTGACAATGAATGTGCTAATCAAGATGAACAGTATTCTGAGCTTATGGAATGAGCTTAAAGCCAATAACGCTGCATTGTTTATTTATTACTTGCCTAATATGTAGTAGCAGAAGTATGATCAATGACAACACAAGAACAAGGATAGGGTTAAAGGAGACCTTTTGTGAAACACTATACCAAATGAGCGGAATTCCCTTTACTCCAGGCCAACTTGGTGCAACATTAATGCCACTTTTTTGACTACCAAATATTGATTCCTGGACGCAACGCCTTAATTATTGCTGTTACGTTTATGACAAGGCTAATGGTGTTACATTTATGACAAGGTTGTTGCTGTTACGTTTATGACAAGGATTATTGCGTGTGTAATTCACCCTTTAAGCATCAATTGATTTGCACTCAAAAAAATAATAAGCTGATATACTGCAATTGTTTTAGTTCCCCAAACCACTTCCAATTCTCTGTAGAATCTTGCACCAAATATGTACTGAGTATTATGAGGTATGAGTAAAGAGGAGATAACACCCCCTTTAAAGTTTTAAGCAATAGTGAGCAAAAATAGCAGCTGATGAATCCTACCACAGGTATAATGGTAGCAAGTATTTTACCGTATAGTTCCATAATATGCTAAATTGATATGAAACAAGTCTGTTCTGTTAAATCTATAAAAATCTATATGTGACATATTTTGCTTTAGCATCTTCCCGCACAGTACAGGACCCTTGTATCACTTCAAGTAAGGTCTATCCAAGCCCTAGTCTTATTTGAAAACCTTATATTACATTGGAGTGTTAAGAAGTTTTTGTACAACCACATGGAGAGTTTAACCATTGTTGAGAAAATGGATAATATGCAAAGGACTAGATATACAATAATATCTAATAAAGCATGCGTGTATGACTTTTTCAACTATAATTTCAATTCAATGAAAAGGTCAAGAGACGATTTCAGTCTTGTATTCTGCTACTGAATCTACCAGCATTGTAGATACTTAGCTACAATCGACCCAACATATTTTGCACTTTTTCGGGGTAACTCGAATGACAGAGTACTAAAAAAATTTCCTCCGAAGAGGTGTCCACTCAAGATTTACGTGTCATCCTTGTGCAGGGGCCATGCTAATCTTCTCTGTATCGTTCCAATTTTTTCAAGTGTCAGAGGTCCGGTAGGACTTGACAAACGAAGTAGCCCCAACTACCTTTTATACCATGTAAATGCGCAAGTTAATAGAATTATGGGAAATTTGAAAATTCGTTCGAAACAAATTGATCATCACTAGGATGTAAAATTGTGCCTACTGCCAGGATTGAACTGGCGACCTTCAGTTTACGAGACTGACGCGCTACCACTGCGCTAAGCAGGCCTTTCTCAACTTGTCTAGGTTAGGTCATCATGATCTTGAAATTATCCCTGTTAGAGACCCATCCTGAACCGTTCGTCGATCTTTCACAAATTAGGCAAATGGAACTAAGACCTGTATATCTCGAAAATGCAGTTCACAGTATAAATTAGCGAAGTATGTCAGAAATAATGCAGCTCTTCCTTTCTCCCTTACCTCAAGAATCGACCCCTGTCCTAGAGTGGAGCGCACTATGGCAAGCTGTTACAGAGTTTAATAGGCCTTCAGGATGAAGGGTATCCTGGTATCTTGTGCCCATTATTTACATCGGAGAAACATCAAGCAACATCTTAAACGATTGTCGATCTTGCAAGATACTTGGGCACTAAACAGTTGCTCAAGCATACAGTCTGGAAGACTTCAGGAATAGCACTAGTACGAGAGACTCGTATACAAATAAAGTGTTTTCTCCCTCATACTCTGGATTAACTTTTACCCTCACCGGATTCCCAAGAGATTGTTGTTTAGTTGGGACTTCCGTTTACGAGTGTAACACCCTCGGTATCAAACACTTTGGACACTACTCCTCTTCAGATTAAACCTCAAATCACTATCATCATTTAGTATATATCGGGTATCACTTTCTGAAGCTTGCCCGACTTTAATGAAATCCCTTATCCAGATATGATAAGCTTCCGAGGATTTAACGGTTACACTCCACAGCGACAAAGCGCGCTTAGTATGTAGATTTCGTAGAGTGTAATTCGAGGCATATACAACCCGTAATTCGATATTCACCTTGTGGATTTTTATAGCCCATTGATCAGATTCAACTATATCAAGCGATGCAAAAGAAGAGTTCTCAAAATCACCTAGTACTACCATCCCATAACACCGAGGAGAGAGCTGACAAATTTAATTAGAGTCAGATTGGCATCCAAAACATTAATTCTCAGTAGGAAACTTTTACCTGTTATTTTATAAATAACATATAGTTTTCTTTATGATGTAAATGGGAGTTATTACTAAATCGTGATTAACTAAACCCAGATGCTCTCGGATTGCAACCCGGGTATGTATCAATTACTGACCAGAGAATCCCACTTATTTAGCAACAACCAAATTACAAATTAGACGTCATTTTATCATGGCAAATTACTCCTGGAACTTTTCAACTGTTTGAAAATGAATACCAACGTGGTTCTTACCCATTCCAATGAAGAATCCCTCCCAAGATACCAACTTTGACTAGTATCAGAGGTCTCGCTGGAAAAAGTGAAGGATGTCTGAGCTGCTTTTTGGATGCTTCAAAAATAGACTACATAAAATAGTCAAACCAAAAAAATGTTGCCTACTGCCAGGATTGAACTGGCGACCTTCAGTTTACGAGACTGACGCGCTACCACTGCGCTAAGCAGGCTATCTTTGTTGCAGGGTAAAGGATACCAGTAGCATAAGTGGTAGACACTCCGCAAAGGACAACTATCTGTACGGATATAAGGCCAATCATGCCGATCTGCACCCGAATAGAGTTACTCTGACCAAAACCCTATCTAGCACCAATTTATCTCTAATTTATCACTGAAACCTAATTAGCACACACAGTATAAAAGGCACACCATGAATAACTATTGCAGACAGGCTTGTACACAAATAAAGTATCTTCTTCCTTGCCTCCTGGATCAACTCTACCCTCTCCGGAACCCCAAGAGATATACTGCTTAACCGGGATTTCCCTCTACGAGCGCAACAGTCTGAAATGCTGTGGTATAACGTGAATGCCTACCATTAAAGTAAACTCATAGCATATATGCTAGACTCGGGAGAATAGAGGAATGAGGAATCAGCGTACACTTACTGTTGTATAAAAAAAGCTAATAAGCAAAATAATAACGGCTTTTCTTGGGAGACAACGGGATACGCTTTGTAAAAACGAATATCGGTCTGAATTGATTTCTACATCCTCAGAGAGAATCGAACACTCCAAATCTACGCGATAATTAAGCCTTCTCATTACCTACCTGTTAGAAAGCACTGAGACTATCTCACGAGCATTTATCCCAACTAAGCGTTACTTTGTTATTCCTATCGCGACATGTAATCAATCTTTGACGTTTTTTCGATGTAGGAGATGGCAGAGGTAATGATTGTCATGATGATTACAATGTTGATGGACACAGAAATAGGATATATGGCCGCAGTAATAGTAGGAAGTATAGGGAAAGAGTGATGATAGTTCAGGACCTCTGTTCATTTATTCCAGCTAACTTTGCTCAAGTGGATATTATATATCATATAAAATTAAAGGGTACGAGGCGCATGGGACTCGAACCCACAATCCCCAGATCCGAAGTCTGATGCCTTATCCATTAGGCCAACGCCCCATTCGTATTACGGCCCGCTCTCTCTGTCTGGATGTTACATAGTTAAATACAATCTAACGTAAAAGAAGGAAAGGCTGAGCAAAATTCTAAATAGGAAAACATAATTAGCCCACACAACATACCGTGGTCATATATATATCTACCTCTATATCTATGAGTCGGCAGTTGGTTAGGATATAGATCCTGAACTAGAAGGAAGAATATCATCTCAGCACTGACGGACTCGACTGTCTCCTCTATCCATTATCTTCTAAATAAACATCCGTCTTATTAAAGTCTCTTTCCCCCTAGGCGAATATACCACTATCCTTTATCTTTATTCCTTACTACGTGGCCCTTAACCCCGTAGCATGCATTCGAACAGGGAGGTTTCTAGGCAAAGTATTCATTCAAATAGACATTCGTTGGAGAAAACTACTGCAGTATTATGTCCACTAACGATTGTCGTGCAGATGGTTACAAAACGAAGTGATGATATTACGAACTTTGCTGAGTTTCAATAAAAACGTTCAGGCGCTTCAACCCTCCATCTTTGGCATCTTTCGGAATAATAACTGCAATGCAATGAATAACAGTGATTGCAAGCAATTAGTCATTATTTATCTAACCATGACCTCTCATCCTCATAACACACTACCTACTTGGACTCTTCAAGGTTGTTTCCCCTATGTGTAACTATGCTGCTATAAATGACTGTAGTCTGATACATTTAGCACGAAATTGCTACTAAG